CGCCGGTAGGCTAACCAGGATGAACATGTTCTCTTGGCAAGTTAATGAAACTCCATGATGACAAGAGCTATGAATAGTCTCGGCAACACCCTACTTACGGTGTGGGGTCTGTACACTTCACGGCAAGTCCTGTTAGCACTTGAGACAAGCAGTAAATGAAAAGGATATAGTGAATACGGAAGAGTGGACCGAGTAATCTAGTAGGGATCTTGCCTTCTTTACACTTGTAAGGTTCTTCTAATCTAATCAATGACAGTAAGTGGTGAGTGCCATTCTGTGTGTTCGACTAGACTTCTCTGAATACTTGAGTGGATGTTATGAGCATAGCCAGAGAGGAAGGAAATCCAGGAGTTTTTTGATTCACTTTTATTTTTATCAGTATTTATAATGTGACTACCATAATCATTGATTTAGCATTCACTTCCTTATTGGTACTGAGCTTCTTCACTCAGTTATGTAAGTCTCGTGTTAATTTAGTTGTCTTAAATCAAAACTCAAATTAGCAATTTTTCTAAATTATTGTAAAATACCTTCGTATTTTGGTTTTATGGGGACATAGCGTATTGCTGCATGTCGACCTGAAAAAGTGTGTATTGCATTCATGTGATCATGATTGATTACAGCCTCAACTTAGTAACAGCAAATTAAGTCTCATAAATGAGGCGTTCGCCTTTCACCAAGAGGTTATGTTATTCTCTTCACTGCACTAAGTAAGTGTGGTCCCGTCCCTGCTCTCTATCTGTCTTCATCATGCAATTAGTTCTGTTTTGGTAACCGACTTTTTGACCAAATAATTGCAGACAGTCGGTTCTAAGTGTTTATTTTTAAGAGCATGGCAGTAGGCGAGTGAAATGGGGAACCTAGTCAAACACACCGAAGGCATTCTTCATAAGGAAGATTAGGAAAACCCCACAAATAACAAAGGATATAGTTTCTACTTGGTTGTTCATCTCATTGTTTTTAATTCCCCGATCACCAACTAGATCCAGTTGGCCATAGCACACTGTGTGGATCACAGGTCACAATGGCAATCCCAGTTCATACAACTTCATTTCTTGCATGAATCTCGGGAGTTTTGGTAAAATATATATGTAGTATTTTACCAAACAAGATGCAAACTTTTTACAACATGAGATTGATTTGAGACTAAATTGAAGTCACGTCTATTTTTTTTAATGGTTGACATTTGTCGTGTGCATGTTGGAGGTCTCGTGCTGCATCGTGAACCCCATTGACCGGAATGATTGCACCCAGCTACTAATCCTTCATGCAACCAAAAGTTTTATGGTTATGTTTCCTATAAAACATGTCAGTATGCAAACACCTCACCCCTTTGTACAACAAAGGAATACATGACTGCTATGCACCATCGACGGTATTTCCCCACTCATAAAATTGGGAATTATTCCTCTTGCACTGCGGAAAATGATTAGGCACACTTGGTGATGATACGATAGGCAGAATCATCCCTGGAACTGGTTATCTGAAGCGGTGCATCTTCATGGTAAATTCAACTGCCTCTCAAAGGACTGCAGGTGAGCTTCTGGTTTTCTTGATATGATTATGAAAAATAAATAATGCCCAGACTCCACCAGTAAATAATTCCTTATCGTAGCGTTTTCACCGCGTAAAATTGTTCTATAATGAGCTTCATCCATTTCACCTTCAACAATCAATTTGTATATCCCTACTCATGGAATTCGAAGAAGGTGTATTGCGTGTAGTCGCTTCGGTGTAGTGAGCCGGCGTATTCGTAAAGCTCAGTTTGCCATGATACATGACCTCGCATAAGTTAGGAAAGTTATTTCTCCTTGAAATCAATGGAAGAGGAACTCGAAATATTCCAAGAGGCGTAGCCAACTGGCCTCATATAAACGTGTTGTCATACAGTACAAAACCTGATGACTATTAAAGGGGAATTAGGGAATTCATACTGACAAAAATTTGAGCCCGTACAGAAATCAAATAGACATTCAGCAAACAGATCTCTTTTCTTTAACGGCGTTAATAATCTCATCAGTACGCAAAAGCAGGGTAGCTACTATACTTTTACAACCCATCAGAGTTTATTTGGCACATGGGTAACTGATAAGTACCTGAAAGTAAACTTCACGGCATAACCAGCAGTGTTATGCCACACTACGGCCTGCAATGTCCAATGATCATCAACTACAACTGGGCAGAGCCGAAATGCCTGAAGACGGACTCCAGTGTTTGCCGTTCAAGGTACTGTATGACCACCAAATACATTGTCGGCATCCACATTTAACATAGAGCCCTGACTTGCGAGCACTGACGGGTTACCTAAATTTGAATGTCGCAACTTTTCTGGACTATTACCCACAATTTGATACCTGCAATCTGACGGCAGCTGTATTTTATGGCTGGACTTATCCGGCATGTTGGTTGAAATTTCGCTCGGCAAATTTGTTTTGTCAATAGTTTTTAATAAAATTTTGTTATATGTTTTCTGGATTGATAGGAATTCTCATTTCCTGGCTAGTTATGTTGGTGTCTGCGTCGTTTAATCTGACTGCGACACACTTAGCATATTGGTTGTAATGATTAATGTTTCATGCTGAATGCGTCAAAACATCTCTACAATGAAGAAGATGGGGTAGTTGGTGGGTAATGTCATCTACACAAATAGTTTATTTCTTGTAGAAGCTGCAGCTTTCGACATAGTGTCATTCAATGAAGACTACGTCAAAATGTGGCTATTTTCGTGTGAAGAACAGTACTATTTTACAAAAGAATGCTATCAGTACATGGGAATCACCTACAAATGCCAACAGAACATAAAACCAATGTGTAAACGAACGGCTACGGAACTGCAATCCAACATAACCGACTAACATGGACGAAAATGACCTTTGAGCGTCTCACTCCATCAATGACCTTGAGCATGCGGGATAATTTCAGCCGTATTTTATGGTATGGTTTTTATAAGTACGACGACATAGGTCGAAAAAAGAACAGGGCATTATAATTTTCAAGCTGCGTTCAAATGGCTGCTTTTATCTTGAAAAGTATTAGGAAACAGCCTGAAGATATTTTTCACTACGTTGTTTCCTGAAATAGTGATACTTTAGTTCCTCGCTGACAGTAAATATCATCCTCAGACCCTAAGGCGTTCATTATCATCGAAAATTAACTTGAGAAAACCGATTGAAATCAGTGTAGCTTTTAAAAATGATGATGAATCCACATCGATTTGTGCCTCCTGGAAAACCTACCATTCAAGGGGTACGCGTCGTTATAGGTCCAAGCAGACACTATATCACGAGAACGAAAATGGCTAAAATCCTCATTTCTGTCCTAGAAAGGCAGTGAAACAGCATATACAGGTAAAACGAGTCCCTTACCAACCTGCCAAAATGAAACAATAGGTAAACTGGGGAAATTAATCTCAGCGAAGTCCTCAGGTTGAGGGCACAAACTATTCAGTCTCAAGCAATTACACGAGAACCTTCTGAAGCTTTTCCACGTTACCTGTTCTAACATTCGTTTGACTCACAGAAACTACTAAAACAGTGTGAACAAAGGCAAAAATCTACGTCTCTCCTCAAACCCTTCTACTACTTATATTATTGTTGAAATTAATGATAGCCTGGTTGATGACTACATAAGAAATCACTCTTACGAAACCCGGCTTTAAAAGAGGTAGATGCTGAGACAGGGATGGTTTTCGACGTTAAACGACCGCAAGTTATGCTGAGATATGATTATTTTAGTGTGTGATCTGCCTCGACTCTGCAAGGACAAAGAACATGATTTCACAGAATGTCCTGTTTCGTTAGGTAGGCAAAAGAGCAGCCAGTGGTGCACTCTACATCAAGCTTGCACAAACGCCTAATGCTACCATTCATCATGGAGTTCCTTACGAGCCATAAATGGGAATGACTAAAGCAAGCTGCAGGTAGACCTGAGAGCTTTTATGAGTGAGACACAAGGGACCAGTTTTAAAATCGTAAAGGCGTATTTATTCCCTTTGTGCCTCCTGTTTATCCTGTACAGCATAAGAATGTGGTGTAAGTATTATTTTACCCAAAAGCCTATGTACAATTGCAGAATATATGAGGAACGTCCCAGGTAGTGCATTACACTACACTTTACTTGGAGAGGAATTGGTGTCGCCACACCATGTTTCTTTCTGAAACAGTGCAAAAGCAACTTAAGTATCTTCATGAAGGTGAGAAATTGGGCAATTGACAGATGGGAGGTAACCAGCTTTCGGAATATAACTGGAAAAAAGGCAATGAAATTGTCCCCCTTCGCACAAAATTATATTGCTGGTTCTCACGCCGAGTCATAAACCATTGGAATCGACTTCTAGGAGAAGTGGCATCTGCAACCTTTATTATTTCACTTATCTCAACTTATATTATCTACACTACAACCTATTATTATTATTCTACTTTTATGACTATACCGAATGACCAACGGGTGTTAGGTCAAACTCCATTCACGGCAGCAGCTGAGTCCTAACATCCTGCACACTACAAACCACAATCTTGACCAATCCTCACACCACTCCTCTTGGAGTCTGCCAGAGCTAAAGCAGTCGAGTGGCGGGATTTACTACGTATAAGTTCACCGAAGATCTGGAACCTCTACCTTACAATCAAGAAGCGAGCTCAAAGAAATCACTGGTTCATACTAGCTCGTAATCAGGATATTGGATATTGAACTGATTCATTCAAGAAGGGTTTTTGGACAACCACTGAAATTTACTTTAAAAGGACAAAAATAGGTTCCGACCCTTTTATCCTCAATCAATAAATCTGAATCTGAAACCAATAGCTAACCTACTAAATAACGGACACAACAGCGTCATAGTCTAAGCACATACCGCAGATAGTCCAGAAAGCTAAACCTATCTCCTGCTTCATTTGGGGTTTACCATACTACACCAAGAATAGATACATCAATTTAGGTCGTAAAATCATTAATGGACACATTAGACATCGGATGTGAAATGTTTATGTTTAAAGTCTTAACTTTTGAAGAGGAATATATAACTTGAAGGCCGTTGCGGCATTTCAAGTTTGTTGTGAGGGTCGGTTATCAATTAATTAAAGAGGTGAGTCTAAATTATGCTATTTCAGGATAGAACATTGAGACAATGTGCTGTGATTTTGTTAAAATGTCGACTGTGTTGTAGCTTCACTGCTCTGTTGCAAACCATATGCTCTCCTCAAAATCATCAGAAGTTTAGCGTGGCAGGGTTATTTTCTACAACAGGTGTATGTAGCTGTTATCTAGTGATTTACATGATTTAACCTGCTTTAGAATTTTTAGATATCTATTAATTTCTGTTTTGTTTGCATGATATGTTTGTTTTTTAATATATGTGTGCATAGTTGTGGTCACAATCCGTAATAGGTAGTTTTAACCTACTGTTGCGTATGAAAACCTCAATAGGTTATGCTGTTACCAAATATTCCAAAGCTTATCATGCTTGGATGTTTTTCTGTATTAGTGAACTGTTATTGTGTTATGCTGTACAAATCTAACATTGCTTGAGTAACATTGGTTAGATCGCTAGTTCTATTTGTTCACATTTATTGATAAGTACACAACGAACATTTATAATATAGCTGGATTAACTCACTCCCCTATTCTGCTTTACTCAGGAATTACTTAAATAGAGATCTCTACTCGATATATTCCAACAGACGACACCATGTATAATTGAACAAGTTCTAGCTATCTTCCTCACCATTGATTTGTGATTGTTGATAAGTTCCTTAGGAAGTTATGATTCCGATATCCTTTGGGCATATAGCAATTGGTAGGCTTTCTGTTTGGTAGTATACTATCTAAATGCTATGGTGTTTGACACCAGTGAGTATTTTAATCCCATTGTCTATCTGAATGTTTGTGAAGCTTAAAACAATTATAGTAAATTTCACTCAGGGCAAGAGAAGTTACTCCTCATTAGAAATGACATACATTCACACATATGTGACGCGTACTACATTGCTAATTAGGCAAGTTACTGATTACGGTGTCACTTACAAAAACACATTACAAATTGTCAAATGTGACACAGAAGGATTCTGATTTATCCATTTCATTTATTTCCCAAGTTAAGGTATTTATACAGCGCAGAAAACTAGTAGCATTAGCATTGTAGACATTGTCGCATTTGCACCGTTATTTGTCAAGATAATAGTACTATGGTCTTGTAGGATAGACCCATTAAAAAAGCCTAGTTGTTGAGTCAGTATTTTTTGAAGGTTGTTATTCGAGTATTATTTAACAGTGAGTGTGTGAGGGGGGGGGGTCACTTGGATCTATGGGCATTATTACAGTGGTGTTGGAAACTAAAAAAGGCAAGACATCTCAATTTTGAAGTGACTTCCGACATTCCCTGTCACTCCCGTAACTTTCGCCGTCTCTGGCGTAGACGTGATATCCGACTATCGACCAAAGGGCGTGTGTACTGCGCAACAGTCCGCTCCGTCCTCCTTTATGGCTGTGAGACCTGGCCATTGAGAGCAGAAGACATGAAAAGATTAGCTGTCTTCGATCATAGGTGTCTGCGTTCTATCTCCCGCGTGAAGTAATATAATAAGGTGAGCAATATTGAGGTTAGGCCATCGGTCGAGTGCTAGGTAAGGAGGGGAAATCAGTCCACGAGAATGTGAAATTACATCTATTGAGATGGTTAGGACATGTGTTACGTATGCCTAATCATCGCCTTCCTCGATGGGCAATGTTAGCTGATATAGGGCCAGGCTGGAAAAGAGCTAGTGGCGGTCAAACCAAAACATGGCACCAGTCAATGAAATCCACAACAGTTAGTCTAGGTCACATAGGAAGGTGTAGACTTCCTGACTGGTTGGGGTCCTCGGGATGGTAAAAACCAATGGTTGGAAACAATTGTTGACATGGCTCAAAATCGTTCTCAGTGGCGCAGATGCATCCACTCCTTGTGACTTATGATTTCCAATGAAACTGTTTTGTTCTTCGTTATTACTATTCCTTTGTCTCTCCCCTCTGTTTACTGTCTATATTATGCATTTCTTCTACTTTCTTCTCTTGCTTTGCGTGCTACATGGTGTGGCGACTTGAACTGCCGCACATATGTGCAAAGTTCTATGTCGAAAACCGACCGACCGACCGACTCCCGTAACTTTCATAGTGTTCACTGTTCGCTAACCCAAGGATTGGTTGGAAGCATTGAAGAGGTGATCGACTAATAACGCAGCATTCTGACATAAATGGTAGATATGTTGGATTGGCACCTGTTCATGCATCACGATCATATCGGTTTAATCCGAAAATGTGACCTGGTTATTCAAAACTCTCAAATATGTCTCAAAACCAGAACCACCAGTGAACATTCTTCAATTTTGCTTTCCACTATTACTGAAAGTAATATGAAGTATAATCAATTTTGATAAACACACATGTATTGCCATCATGTAGTACATCAAATTTAAAATTTCTTTTTCCTTCATGTTGTTCCACTTTTTTCATGACGCCTCAGTGTTGATTCTGCAACAGGTTTGCATTTCAAGTAAAATAAATAGATGCAGTCTTGTGAACACCTTCTACAGTAATTTTAGTATATTTGCCATGTGACTCACTGCTTTCAAATGCAAATCGCTGCTGCGCGGTTGGGTTGTGCCAACTTCTAGTTCAAGGAAAGAGAGCGATGTGGTTGTGCGTATTAAGCACATCACTTGTTTAGGAAGTTGTATCAGCCTTAATAGATTGATTGCTGACGAAATGTCAGGAAGGATATAAAAGGGTCTTGGAGCTTTCACCGACTTACTTAATCTACAGCGTAGGCGTGATATCCAACTATCCATCAGACGAAATGTTTATTACTCACCAGTTCAATCTGTCCTATATGGCTGTAAAACTTGGTCGTTGAAAGCGAGAAGGTTAAAGAGACTATTTTTCTTTTGCGACAGGTATTTGCATTGTATATCCCTCTTTAAGTAATGTGATATGGTAGGCATGGAGTATTATCTAAGGAGGGTAAGTTAGTCGAAAAGGTTATGAAACTGCACAGATTTTAATGGCTAGGACATGTGTTGCTCATACCAAGCCATCATCGTCATTGATCAATGTTAACTGACATAGGAATAAGTTAGAAAAGAATTAGGGGTGGTCAGTTCAAAACATGGCACCAATCCATGAAGCCTTTAATTGTTGGTTTAAGCTAGTCACTTGAGTGGGGGGGGGGTCGTAGACTGCCTGACTGGGGTCTACGTGGTGTATCGAACCAGTGTGTGGACATTGTTAGGGACATTGCGCAAAATGCTTCTAAGTGATGCAGATATATTTATTCGCAATGAACTTGTAGATCTATCAAAATCCTGCATGTATTCACATTTCAGTTCGTTGTAGTTCCTTTGCATTTGTTCACTTTTGAAGTGTGGCAACTTGAACTACTGAACTTTCGTGCAAAGTTTTACGTTGAAATTCAGCCAGTCAGTAAGTAACTAAACACTCGTCAGTACAAAGGTGAGGGTTAGATCATTAGACTGTACTTTTCAGCATTTTAAATATTTATCTGGTTTATAGAATGGTAAATAAAAATTCCAGTCAAGATATCTTTTCCTGTTATTTTTATTTCTTACTGGCTGTCTGACTGATTTCTTGGATTGGTTCCATATTAGTAAACTTACCGCCGGTTACGGACCATCTTAGGGTAAGTCGGGATGTACAATTTTTTGGGTCGACCTTTCCCAAACCCCTCCCTCCAGAGTGGAGAGACAGCAAAGCTGGCCGACATGCTGGTCGTCTGAGGGAAACACCTCACTGCTGTCACATCCCTCTTCCCCAGCAGTACGACTTCGCCCACAGACCCCTAGTAAAGTGTATAAAACCTACACTATGCCGGTAACTGCATTTAGTTTAATCGCTATTCTAACAACCTTCATGGCATGGTAGGACCTGCAGGAACAATAGTTCCAGTCAGTTTAGCTTGTTGGGTCATTACAATATGCGCAAGCCCGGCGACCACCACGTCAAGGTAGCAGCTGTCGGTTGAGTGTACGGTGTGGGGTGATTATATGTATTGTTTAGTTCATCTCGGTAACTGAGTCCACGTTAAATGATGATTTTAATATTTTAAATATATGTATGGAAATCATAAATATGATAGATGGTGGAGCCTTATCACGAAAATAGTAACACATTTGATAGGTTTGGATATACTAAGTGTTGCACAATGCGTAGAGATAATTTCAAAAGTAAGGGGGGAAATGGAAGTAGATTGCCTATTATGGTAAAAAAATTATAAAAATTGACAGGTGACATTTAAGGAGAAAAAAATAAGACCCAGATAGAAACAAAGTTAGCACGACTTTGTTTCGTTCGTGCAATCGAATTTTTCACATGTATTGAGGTAAAAACTTCTGTAGTGTGAAGAACTAAAGCACTGAATTTTCAGCAGATTGTTTATATATATATCGTAGGTGGCTCGAAAAGCTGAATTCATAAGTGGAGCTGTGAGCAGTGCTGGAAATGCCTTCAATTATTGCATTCCTGATATCTACTTTTATCCCTCTGCATCCCTCTAACTGTTTGACGTATAAAAGTGATCACATGAAGGTTGTTAGGAAACATTGGCAGACTAAACAGTATTGACCCACAATAAAAAAGCAAACGAAGTCTTCACCAAGAAGTTAACATATCTCTTTAGTATATCGACAGTAAAATCGCCGTTCAAGGTCAGATTCGCTCGCAATTAAAGTGAAAGTTTCTCCTTATGGTTTTGTTGTCATATTATGCCTTAAAAGTGTTTTCAGCTAAGACTAATTTGATAAGCGATGCACCAGTTATAAGGTAGTTGAAAATAAGTCACAACTTCGTAATGCATATCGTATTTTAAATTTTATACTTATTTGTAATTTTGCATACCAGATATTTCAGTGTTTGTCATGTTCTATTTGACCTTAAATGGTGCTGCTTTATTTTGAATTTATTACATTACCTTAATAGGTGCCTACAATTATGTCAAATAATTTGACCTATCAAGCTTCACATATTACTCATGATCAACGTGTTTCTCTCTGTAAAAGAAGCTGGCTTCGTGGCTGTACAGTTTGGTTCACAGGTAATTTTTAACGAATTATTTGTGTGTGTGTGTTTAATCAATTGAGTATCTCTGCCTTCATATTAATCCTTTAAAAAGTCTTTTAACGATTAATTAAGTGGTATAATGAGGTGAGCAATATTGAGGTTAGGCGTCGAGTGCTAGGTAAGGGGAGGAGCGGGGAATCAATTGACAAAGTTGTGAAGTTACATCGACTACAACATCTTCTCTTCTCTTGCTTTATGTGCTACATGAAGTTTGGCGACTCAAACTGCTGAACATCGATGCAAAGTTCTATGTTGAAAACAGACAGACAGATAGATATTGTTCTCAGTATGTTTAATTACGTCAGCTTATTTGGCCTGCGATAGCATGCAGGCTGCCCAAATCGCACTTAATCAGTTGGCGATCAGTGTCTGTAAGTATGGTATGTGCTTTGCGCCGTCTAAGTGCGAAGTACTGTTACAAGATTGGCAGGAGCCTGTACCTGCACTCACTCTTGCGGGTGAACCGCTTGAAGTTGTCGATAAGTTTGTGTACCTAGGTAGTTGTGTGAGTGCTGGCGGAGGGGTGACGGATGAGATTTCCAACCGTATAATGAAAGCTAGGGTGGCATACATCAACTTGTGCCACCTCTGGCGCCGTCGCGACGTTAGCCTGGCTGTCAAAGGTCGGGTATACAATGCTTCGGTGCGGGCTGCGCTGCTCTACGCCTGTGAAACCTGGCCTCTCCGAGCTGAGGATGTGAGGCGACTCTGCGTGTTCGATCACCGCTGTCTCCGCAGGATTGCTTGCGTTCGATGGCATCATCGCGTGAGTAATTCTGAGGTTCGGCGGCGTGTGTTTGAACACAGTGGAGATCACCATTCATTGAATGTCGTCATCTGGAAACACCGGCTCCGGTGGCTTGGGCATGTGCTGCGAATGTCACCCCAGAGGCTTCCGTACAGGTCTCTGTTCGCTAGCCCTGGGACGGGTTGGAAAAGGCGGAGAGGTGGTCAGCCCATGACGTGGCGTCGTGGGATGAAGGATATTTGTGCTAGATTAGCATCGGTTGGTGTGTCACGACTCCCTGGTTGGGGTCTGAGAGATAGCTCAAATCGATGGCTCGAAACGTTATCGGATATGGCCAAGAATCGTAATCAATGGCGAATGTGTTGCGATTTCCTTCTTTCTTCCATTCCCGATGATAGTTAACGAACACTGTTTGAACCTGTTAAGAATGAGTGTTTTCCTTCCAGATGAAGTTCATTATTCGTTCTCTACTCATATATATTTTTTCTTTTCCTGCCTTCCTTTTTTTCATCTACGTTGTTTTATTATTATTGTGTGGCGCATCCTTCTTGGTGCCATATTGTACCAAGTTTTAATGCGTTTAAATAAATAAATACAGTCTTTTTATTCAAATGCACCACACACACACACACACAGTCTTAAGGGTATTTTACATGTTTCGTTACTACAAAGTGAAAAGCTTTTATGCATTTTGCCTTCTCTTTCTACAATATAAACTGTTAAAATGACATTTCTTGTTTGATGTTATACAAAAAAAACAATATTTTGTTTGTGAGATGTGTTCGCTGTGTTTTTTTTGTAAATTATTTAAACATAATAGAGATTTAAGTGTAGCTAACTGATGTGGAGAGTTGTCTTTTAACCTGTAGGTTACAAATTCAAACCCTGTTCCGTCTATCAAAGACGTTCGTAATGCCCGAAGTAGTAGTTAGTCTCATAATTTAAAGTTTTTATGCCTTGATAGTCATTGGTTGGCTACATAATACTTTTTAGCTTGATATTACACCAATAGCGCATTAACGTATTCTCTTCTGTATACGTAACATTCTTTTCCTATGGTTGTATGATATATGCATGCGCCCCACCCTGATAATGTTACGCCTTCAAAAGCGACCTGGTACGGTCGAGTGTGAGAGTAGACTTTGATCTTCCTATCGAAATGCTTTCATGTCATCATGAGTTCAAAGCCTCTTCCAGATAAATTCTATTCGCCGTCTTCACGCGGTTGGGCTGTTCTTCACAAAAGTGAAGGAGTGAATTCGAACGTCTGGCGCTTGCAGTTAAAAAACTGGTGGACATGCTAGTTTACCTAGAGGAATCCGAATGAATCGAATGGTGTATGAACTTGTTTTAGTCACCAGAAATCACGGGAATCCAGCTGTACTGCCTTGGGGCTCAACCTTCAAGTCAAGGACCTGGGGGATGGTGGTGGGGGAAGGTAGGTTCTTAAGACAACCGCCTGCTTCAGTTTAGGCGTTCGCGCAGTATGTCAGTCCTAGCAAAAATAATATGATTTTGTGTGTGTGGTCCATCTCTTGGTGCCCATAATGTATCAAGTATGTGTATTTCAATACATATATAGCAATAATGTACAACATTTATTAAGAAAAAAAATTGGTAATATATGTGTATATTTAACAAGTCCTAACGTTAATCTTGTTTAATAGTAAGTCTTACTCTAAACATCATATGCCTTAACGTTAAATGACCACACATAAAACGGATATTGTTTAATTAAAGCTGAAAAATACAATATCTTGATGTTTATCATTACTTATTAAGGTTAAAAAAAAACTTTATTTATTATATATGTTGTAGCCATCACATGGCTGAAGTTCGTGAATGACATTTATGCACAGTTTTCATTGAAACTGAATAAACTGGTTTAAAATCGACATATTTAAGTGGAAGTGGTCATCAAGTGAGAGATTGAGAGACAGAGGTAAAAACACTTGCCATTCCATGCAGTTAGCAATGACCATGACACCTGTTGTGTAAAGGTTGGTAATACTACCTGGTTGTTTAAACCTTGGGAGGAGGAACAGGGTTTGAACCCCTTGTTGACCCAGTGGTTAGAAATCGAGTCTAGACCACTGAGCTCCAGTCTCCCCCTATAAGGTGGTGCGGAATTCGATTTGATTCAATGTAGACTTCTCAGCAATAGTAGTGGTGTACATATTCAGCTGGTCGATGTTTAATAGAGTAAAGCGCATATATTCTGTACTCCACTGGTAGTTATAACAAGAGAATAGTATTGTGGTGGATTCCAATCAAACAGGGCCAGCAGTAACTATTACTCCTTTCTCTCTCTTTTGAATCTGTTCGACATGCGATATAATCTATGCCGTTAGTTTCTACAAGTCTCATAAAACTGCTTCTCTGCTCGAACTTACTTACTTACCTAGAATAGATTTTTTCTGTGCGCGAATATCAACTCCACTTATGAGAGAGAGCTGTTGATACTGTCCAGTTAGTTGCTCATGCTGAGAATATGTGAGCTCTAGACCGACTGAATGAAAGCTGAATGAATGCCCCATAAAAGTCACATTACTCCATCTCACAATCCCTCATAATTGTTTTTGTTCATTATCATACAACAGGAATACTGTTGTTAGTGTATCAGCTGCATATTATCCAATAGTATCTCTGTCTAATATCTCCAGAGTTACGAGATATGCGAGGTCTGTTCGACTAATATATTTTTAGCGACACCACATCTCATTATTCATATTGACATATTTTACTTTTGAGGAGTTTAATCAAGAACCGACTTCATTTAAAGAACCATTGAGAACGAAGGAGTACTGGGCAGCTGTTTCTCCTACCTTAGGATTCTTCAGCAGCATCCACCCATGACCTCCGCGGGGATTGAACTCAGTGTCTTCAGGTGATGAGTCTAGGCTGTTGGTCATTCAACCACTGGGACGAGATCCATTGACCAATTCACGATATAACGTGATCTCCAGTCAATGTCGTCGGGGGGGGTATCTGTCCTCATGCCCAAGTTTGTGGGCCCCCCCCCCACTGCTCACGACCTCCCATTAGAACTTCCCATCAGACAACTTCGTCTTCTACTTCGTCAGTTTGCTAGTGAGTACTAGATTGATTTTCAAGTGTTAGTTTACTGGTGTTTGATTGATTTTCATTCAGACCTCAAACTAATTTCAGTTAGAGAACCATTGAAAACCAGGGAGTACTGGACAGCCGTTTTGTCCTTGTTCAGGACTCTTTTTTATTTCGGTAATGGTGGGTATAATTTCTCCAATATTGAAATTTTTTAAAAAGTATCTTCTCTTATTTAGGTTTAAGTGGAGCGGGTAAAACTACTCTAGCCTTTGCACTAGAAAGTTATCTAGTTAAACAAGGCATATCAGCTTATGTACTGGACGGGGATAATATTCGTTCAGGATTGAATAAAAATCTGGGATTCAGTGATGCAGATCGTGTGGAGAATATTCGACGTGTCAGTGAAGTGGCTAAATTATTCGCTGATGCCAATAATATCTGTTTAACTAGTTTTATTAGTCCATTTGCAAGTGTAAGTTATGAGGTTTTAGTCAGTTTTATACGCTTTACTTTGCTAATTATTATTATTATTATTATTATTATTATTATTATTATTTATGGTAAAAAGCTGAAGAAAAAATGAAGGGAAGTAGATGTATGACAATTGTCTCAGTATGTGCTCAGATTATTATATTATTATTGTTTCCTTTAATTCCTAGAGGAACATAGGGCTTCAGCCGTGCGTCTCCACTGCGTTCGGTTCTCTGCTAGAGTCTTCACCTGGCTCCAAGTCTGCCCACACTGTTTCATCTCCTCTTCACATGACCTCCTCCAAGTCACCCTTGCACTGACGACCAACTCGCCGCTTCCCTTTCGGGTTCCACTCGAGCGATGGCCTGTCTAGTGATGTCACTTGATGGTTTCCCCAGAGTATGGCCAATCCATCTCCATTTCTTCCTACCTATTTGTTGCACAATCGGTTCCTGCTGAGTTGGTTCGCTCCCAGAGATCTCTCCCTGTTGCTGATCTTTTCTGGCCGGCCATCTGATCTTCAGTATTGAGCGAAGACAACTGTTAATGAAGGCCTGTAGTTTGTTTGAGATGTTCTTTATGACGCACTGGCCAATTCTCTGATCCGTATAGTAGCACTGACTTCACGTTGGAGTTGAAAATCCGGATCTTATTTTTGATGCAGAGTACTGTTGACCTCCACACAGACTTGAGAGTAGTGAAAGCTTGTCTTGCTTTTCCGATTCTTGCTTTCATATCCTCGTCAGTTCCGCCTGTAGTTGAAACGATGCTTCCCAGGTAGGTAAAAGAGGTTGTTTCTTTCAGGTTCCTCCCATTTATGCTGATCGTTGTCTGTTGTTGTTGTTGTTCTTGTCCAAAAATCTTCATCACCTCTGTTTTCTCTATGTGCTCAGAAGTAACTGTGATTTACAGACATATATATGTGTTTTATTGTCGATCGCATTTTTTTGGTCATGTAATTTAAAGTGGACGGTTGACGATATCTAGCAGTCTGCTAGTCTACTCATAAGGATGATTTGGTCCAAGCGTAAATCTTTGTTCACTTTGTAAATGATTCTGAATGATGAGTCAGTTGAGATGCTGTGATAGACTTCTGCATATGACCACTTCAATGTGCATATATCAGTTCACCTGCTCGTGAGGAGCTAGGTACGTACATAGTTCGTTCAAAACGTGCCATAACTGAACACCTCATCAATACCTGTCACAGCATCTCAACTGTGACTCATCATTCAGAGAGTCATTTTCAAAGTAAACAAAAATCTACCAAAGGCAGTGTGTTTCCGACTTGTTTGTACTGCAGAAGCTCTCGCCATATGCATCGAAAAGCCAGAGCTGTCTGTGTGTTCAGAAGAAACTAGTCCAACCTTTACAACTGCCATTGATCTAGTTTGGTATGTTCTCTTTGTCTTCATTCAATTCATCCCATTCTTTTTGCAGTTATAAGAAGTTTGTTCTCTGTGGTCTTCCTGCTCACACTTGTAATTCGTTTAAAATAACTAACTCTAAGCCTCTTGTAATCTATATTCACACCGTTTAACTTCCATTTCAAGTTGAAAATTATGATTTCAATTTGTTTCCAAGTGGAAATCAGCGAATAGTCTTGTTGCGTAGTTGTTCAAATATATATGTGCAGTCAGTGATTACTCATGAAACCTGAGGCCTATAGTTAATGAGTCTATACTGACCTATTTTGTTGATACTTATGTCTCCTCCATAAACAACCTACCTGGTACAGAGGAAGGTAGGCAGACTTTAGTCTTCCTCTCTCTCTCGAAGTGCTCTCATGTGACCACGTGTTCATAGCCTTCTGTCTTTACGCTGCAGCAGAAGTGTTCCTCACAAAAGGGAAAGTTTGAATGTGAACCTGATTGGTGAACATTTCAGTCTAGCTAGGGAAGTGGGAAACCCTGATTCGAAATCCGAAAGAATCAGTGACGTATGAATCTATTTTGATCTTAGGAAACCGTGCCAATGCACCTCCTAAAAGCACTTTACTGCCTTGTCGATCAGGCTACAAGTCAGAATCTCTCTTGAGATAGCCACCTGCTTTGGTTTGGGCTTTCGGGCAGTATCCCTGCCGTCACACAAACGATGAGATTTCGTGTGGTGCATCTCTTGGTGGCCCATATTGTATCAGGTTTATGTTTAAAAAAATCAATAACTGATATATTATGGTCGGAGATTTCACGAATTGCTGTCTTTGAATAGATAAGGTATACAGAACAACAGAGCAGTTATGCTCTACTTTATTTTTGTATAATATGATCATTATAAAAGTGTTAACGTCCACAAATATTTGACCCTTGTTGTTGTGTATGCGTTCGTGAAACTGCTATGTGAGTAACATTCTGGCGAAGCGTATTCTGAGACAACTGAGGTAAATTATTTTTTTGAAGTCGTACAATTCTGTCTATCTAGGTAGTCAACACATTTGTTCTAGATAATCTTCACTCTGATTTGTAATACTCACTGAAGTAGGACTGAGAGAAAAGCTAGACAGTGGCATGACATCTAATCATGATGATATGGGTAGTATAGAAAAGTTTGCTTTCCAGCTAGAATCCATGAGACAATCGAAGTAGGTGATTGCAAACTCTTTATGATTAGACACATAATGGTTGCACAGTTCATGATTGTCAACTGAAATCTAGTTCTTACACATCTGAGTATTGAATTAATAAGTTAGGTTTTAGACAGCTGGACTGTGTGGTTAGAGCAGCTTTTTTAAAAGTAGACCTCCTGTAGAACTGTAATAGATACTTTCATTGGACACAATAGGTAGTAACTAATGTCCTACAGAAGGTCAGTTGCGAACCCGAATAGCTCAATGGTAAAGTGTCTGATTGCAGCACTGGGTAACCCGGGTTCGAGTCCCATGAGGTTCCTTCGAGATTACAGATACTCCTTGCTGGTTGAAGAGTGCCAACAAGCACGAAATCTAGGTCGAAGACATCCTGCCAGTTGTCTTCAACCATCTACCAGCATATCAGAGTACACTATGATAGCAAGCCACCTAGTAGTGGCATGACGGCCACACTGCAAACTTGACTGATAGAATTGAATATAACAAGAAGAAAATATTTATCCTCTCATATTTTAAATATTTTTCTTTCTCTTGAGATCAGGATCGGGAAGCAGCTCGCCAGTTACATCTACAAAACAAATTGCCATTTTTTGAAGTTTTCCTTGCAACTCCATTAGAAGTGTGTGAAAAGCGAGATGTAAAAGGCTTGTATAAACGAGCACGTGCTGGTGAAATAAAGAATTTTACTGGTGTTTCAGCCGTGTATGAAAATCCAAACAATCCTGATTTAGTGCTAAACACTGAATTGTATTCAGTTCACGAATGTGTATCGAAATGCGTTGAAATGTTGGTGAAAGGTGTAAGTAATGTTTTAGTAATCATCTTTGGTGAAATGATTTTTAAAATGAAATTTATTTATTTTATCCCTTTACATTCCCGGTGGAAAATAGGGCTTCAAGCTAGCTAGAGCTTTGAAGTTTCGGTAGTAGTGGTGCTTTATTTTTACGCGAAGGGTGGGTGGGGGGGGGGAAGATTGCTATCTTCACTCTCAATCATCCCTCCCTACCGGCTTTACTATCGGCTTGGCTCGGCTCGGCTCAGCGAGGTTTAAGAGTGTGTCGGCCAGGAATTGAAATCCTGATCGGAGCATGTGAAGCATGATTGACGAGTATTCTACCGGTTAAATGATGATGGTAATGTTCTTTATTTGTCATGATGAAAACTAGTAATGAAATTGAGGACATTTTCATCCCTTTTTTCTTGACCTTCGATATTCTTCCAATATCTAATTTTGTTAAATATGCCGATGATTTTACCATTTCTGTCCCAGTAGTTTCTGCTTTGGATTGTTCTTATATGAATAGATTCTTGTATGAAGTTAACAAATGGTCTCACCGAAATGGTCTTAAACTGAATCCATCTAAATGGCATATATTGTTGATTTTAGTTTCAGATTAGAACAAGACTTGCATGGACTGGCTGATTCATTCTCATGATTCCTGTAGTATTGACGGCATTGTGATAGGGAGTAAATCGAATGTCTCTTTTCTAGGGGTCAGTTTCTCTTCAAATCTCTGTTGGTCGTCTCATGTCCTGTTGATTTCTAAGAAAAGTTTTCGTTTTACTTATTACATGAAGAAGTTGAGACTTTCTGCATAACTGGCATAACTCAACCTCCTCTCCTCTTACAATTTGTTAATTCTTGTATTCTGCCCATTCTCTTTTATTGTTCACCCCACTTATTCTTCCCTGGTGGATTTCTCAAAAAAGACTTTGTCATGTTACGTAGAAGACTGAAGGCTGCAAGTAGGGTTAGTGGTGTGTACCTGTGAATCAACTAACTGACATTGTTGTGTCAATAGGCACTTAAATTCTTGCAAGCATTTGGTAAAAGTTATCTTGTCTGATACTGAACATCCTCTTTATTCTCGACTTTCTCTTTGTATCTCTTCGGGTAAACCCAGAAGGAACTTCATAAAAATTTACACTGGTACACCTAAATATAAAAATTCTACCATACCATATTTAGCACGGGTTTTGTTTGAGAGAGAGAGAGAGTCAGATGTCAAAAAGGAGCTTAGAAACTTTTTAAATCAGTAATCTGAACTCTGTACATGACGAAATCTCAGCACGAATACAGAGGGCTAGTTTCGTATATGCCAGTTTACGCCGTCTCTGGCTTAGTAGACGTGATATCCGACTATCGACCAAAGGGCGTGTGTACTGCTCATCAGTCCACTCCGTCCTCCTTTATGGCTGTAGGAGACCTGGCCATTGAGAGTGGAAGACATGAAAAGATTAGCTGCGTTCTATCTCCCGTGTGAAGTGGTATAATAAGGTGAGCAATATTGAGGTTAGGCCATCGGTCGAGTGCTAGGTAAGGAGGGGAAATCAATCGACGAGGCTGTGAATTTACATCGACTGAGATGGTTAGGACATGTGTTACGTATGCCTAGTCACCGCCTTCCTCAACGGGCAATGTTAGCTGACATAAGGTCAGTCTGGAAAAGAGCTAGAGGCGGTCAAACGAAAACATGGCTCCAGTCAATGAAATCTACAACAGTTAGTCTAGGCCACGTAGGAAGGTGTAGACTTCTTGACTGGTTGGGGTCCTCGGGACGGTAAAACCAATGGTTGGAAACAATTGGTGACATGGCTCAAAATCGTTCTCAATGGCTAGCGTAGATGCATCCACTCCTTGTGACTTATGATTTCCAATTAAACTGTTTTGTTCTTCGTTATTACTATTCCTTTGACTCACACCTCTGTTTACTGTCTATATTATGCATTTCTCCTACTTCCTTCTCTTGCTTCGTGTGCTACATGGAAGGAGTGTGGCGACTTGAACTGCCGCACATATGTGCAAAATTCTATGTCGGAAACTGACACTGTCTACTTATACTTCATTATGTTTCCACCAACATTCTGTTTATAGGGGTTTCATTATTCATATTATTATTATTATTACCATTTATAAAAGGAGCTAAATTGTTGTAATATGTGTAAAAACGCTGAAAATTCCATTCTGTATAATTATTGTTTGGGATAAAGTGATTATTATTATTATTAAAATCGCTATTTTCCATGTGAGGTTTAAACTGCACTACCAGAATAATAGCTTTACTTTATGTATTATTATTATTATTAGAACACAAACTTAGTGCATTATATTCACCCAGAGGTATACGGCACAAAGTCTTGTAGTTTCTGAAGGGGGGGTGGTGGTGGTTGGGTTGCTACCCGAACTGAAACAGACGGGTTGTCTTAAACGATCAATTCTCGAGCCTTTGAAGTATGATCCACAAGACACTAATTATTCTCACTTGTTTTTTTTGATAAGTTTAGTTTCATTCAAACAAGATATTGTGAAAAGGGTTTTTTTCCTTCACGTTCCCCAGTGGAACATAGGGCTTCAAGCTAGTGGCTTGAGGTTTCTGTAGCAGTGTTTATTTTACAGGATGGGGTTGCTAGCCTCAGGCCCAACCCTTTCCTCTTCACCAGCATTATTTCTGGCTTAGCGAGGTAAAGGAGTGCGTCCAGTGGCCGGGTATCGAACCCCGGACCATGTGCATGGTCGGCGAGCATCCTAACCTCTATGCCACCGACGCACAATGAAAAGGAGTAAATGGCTTTTAATTTATTTGACTTAAAAAAAGAAGCGCATCTATCTGTGAAAATCGTGCTTCACTGCCACATTCCATGTAGCACACGAAAGTAGAGGGAAGAAAGGGAAATTCGAAGAAAACAATAATGGGCAGAAATGTGCATTAGAAAGAATTGTAACTTGGGAGACGGTCACAAAGAGTGAATTCATCTCCACTACTCAAGATACGTTTGAGCGATATCATCAATATTCTCCAACCATTGGTTCTTACGACTTCAAGAACTCTAACCAGACAGTCTAAATCTCCTAATGTGGTTAGCTCAAACCACTTGACAGTGATTTCATGGTCTGATTCCAGATTTTGATTTGACCACGTGTAACTTTTTTTCCAACCTATTCCTATGTCAGCCAACAATGCTTGTCAAGGAATGCGGTTGTCGGGCATCTGAAACGCATGTTCCAGTCATCTCAATCGATATGTAGCTTCACAATTTTATCGATTTACTTACCTTCCTTACTTAACATACTCTACGCCTAACCTCAATTTTGATCACTGTATCTCACCACTTATCTTAACGCAGGAGATGCGGTGCAAACATCTGTGGATGGATGCTTATGTTTGTGCATGATCTACTACTAGTTGTCGAATATCAATAGGCTGTACAAATGATTTTGATTGGACACTAATTAGTAACTAGTGTAATGTGTGTCTTGTCCTTTGTTTGGTGCAGACTGAATTCTATCAGTCACGTAGGCAATGTGGCCACCATTCTAGGTAGCTCGTCATCACGGCGGTGCACTGTGAATTGTTGGTATTAGGTGATTGGAAGCAATCGGCCTTGACTGACCTAGGTTTCGTGCCCGTTCGCACTCACTAATCAGGAAGGCGTATCTGCAACTACCTTGAAGGAAGAACTCATGTCCCTTCTGAGATTCTAACCCGCGTCACCCAGTGAATGCTGCAGTCAGAGACGTTACTCAGAAGGGAGATGAGATGACTGGTGGGTGCCAACTAGCATGAAACCTAGGTTAGACTGGGCTTCCTGTGGCCGATTTCCTCCAACCATCTAATGTTGTACTACAAATGATTATTGTTAGAAAGCGTCAGTTAGGTAGTATGCTAATGCTAATACACAGAAAGAAAGAAAAAACGAAGAATGTTATTCAGCTATCACGTGCTTTTGCAGATGCTTGGTAATAGTGTCACTTGTTACTATTTTGGTTTTCTAAGCCTCGATGGGTGGAGCAACACTCGAACTTGTGACTCTGTAATTGAAGGTCTTCTTGGTAAACCGCTGAATTCACACTTTCACCAAAACATATATATATATATATATTATCATTATTATTGTTCCCTTGGGTTCCTAGTGGAACATAGGGCTTCAACTACACGTCTCAACTTGCTTCGGTCTTCTGCTGTACTTTTCACCTGCATCCATGTTAGTCCATACTGTTTCAACTCCTCTTCACACGATCTCCTCCATGTCACACTTGGACGTCCCACTCGCCACTTCCCTTTCGGGTTCCACTCGAGCTATGGCCTGACGCGCGATGTCACCCAGCAGCCTCCTCAGCGAGTGTCCAATCCATCAAGCCCGTATATATATATATATATATATATATGGGCCTCATTAAGCAAGGAGGTTAAGGCTGGTTACTCGAAGATTTAACTGATAACAATGTTTGGTTAATAATCAGATTACCAGTGGGGGAACTAGAAAAGCATTCGAATAACTCATATACACCTGTTCTACATTCAGATGTACTTTTCAGTTTTCATTCAACACTTTCACCTGTCTGATTTGTAACTTTTCAAGCTAAATTTTAATATATGTGTGAAAAAGACAAATTGCTTTACAAAAAGGTAATATTAAGATATTCTATGCCTGGTCAATAATCTCTTAATAAATTTGCGTTGTATTTCGTAAATGCAAATTGGGGGTGATTAGGTCAGTGAGTGTCTTATCACTAGTGTATGGAATTACTTTGGAGTGACTTCAAATCGGCTTTTATTCATGCTAATTTCACCTTAGGTGAACTGATTATTGTTATTGGTGTTAATCTCTTGCACACCCATTTATTGCATATATATCTATCTATATATATTTGTATAATCTATAGTGCTCATTTCAACAGTATCCAATAGTATGGGTGTGGTATACTAATATTCCTGTTCTTCAACTGTATTGAATACCTTCAACTCACCCGATGAATTATGTAATAGAAAAAAATATCTTATCCTTTGACTGTACCAT